GGAGAAGCAGGCAAAGACATAGCTATGATCCTAGTAGAAAGAGGGATGAACATGGTTTGAGTGATGTTTCACTTCACACACATCACTTTGACACAACTAGAGTATGGCCCACATTCTTTCTTATAGTCATCACCTGTCAAAGCCACTGCCAGCATCGTGTGTGTGTGTGTGTGTGTGTGTGTGTGTGTGTGTGTGGTGTGTGTGTGTGTGTGTGTGTGTGTGTGTGGTGTGTGTGGTGTGTGTGTGTGTGTGTGTGTGTGTGTGGTGTGTGTGTGTGTGTGTGTGTGTGTGTGTGTGTGTGTGTGTGTGTGTGTGTGTGTGTGTGTGTGTGTGTGTGTGTGTGTGTGTGTGTGTGTGTGTGTGTGTGTGTCAGGAATGCATGTTCAACATGTCTTCAATTGTGTGTGTATGGGTTTATTTGTGAGTGTGTTTAATATGAGTGGCAGCAAACAAGAGAGATTTTACTTTGTCTCGGACCATTATGATATGATGTTGAAAATAGAAATACTCACATCATTAGGCTGAGGTTGTGAGTGTGAGGTTGAAGCTTCTGAGTCGTCCTGAGGGGCCACAGACAGGCTCTCTTCAGCTTTTCTGGAAGTAGACATAGTCCTGCCCTTTTCCGGCTAAAATGAAGAAGCATAATACTCTTGAAAAGAATATATATATATATATATATATATACATATATATATATATATACACACACACACACACACACACACACACACACACACACACACACACACACACAGGGATAGGTATTTCACCCTGCCCTGTTATTGATAATAGAATATTTACATTTATGAATGCTAATAGCCTTATGATGATACACCTACTCTTTGGAGGTGAACCGGGAAGCTGAAGATGGAGGGAATAACACCATCTCTGAGTCGGACAATCTGTCCTGTCCTGTCAAACTCGTCCTGCTTAAAATGCTCACTGCAAATCACGGATGACTCGCTTGCAGTGAACCCTTCCCTCCTCAAAGCAACTTCCCACTTCTTCCTCATATCTTTGTCTTTGGAAAACCTTCAAAATAAAAACGGGAGATTTGAGAGAGTCAACACAATTTTTTTTAAGAAGGAGGTCAAGCTTATTTTCTTCCTTCTTCTTCCTAGATAGATTAGATTAGATTTGACTTTATTCATCCTACAACGGGGAAATTCACTTGTTACAGCAGCATATGATGTTGAAACACCGTTGGTGTGAATGAGGTACTAGATACCTCATTCACACCAACGGTGTTTCAGGGCCGGTTCGGAGCTGGAGCTTGAAAAGCACCGGGTTTTCCTCTTCACACCGCAGCGGAGCAGCCTCTTAGCTCCGGAATCCGGTTCGTTTCAAGCACCAACAAATTGTCCGGCTAGAGCAAAAGCACCGCATACGTCACGCTTACGTCGAGGCGGGGGCAGAGACAGATCAACTCCTGAACAACAACAACAAGCCCGCGTTTTATCCAGTTTGTACAACGATGGAGAAACTTAACAAGAGTTTCAGTGTTTCTGCCATAGACTGTATATATAAAGGTTTCTGCTCATAGTGAAGCAACGTGTCTGCGTGTTAAGGTGGAACCTGAGCATTCACGTTGATCACCTCTCATTATAAATCTATAAAACTATAAATATTAAACTTTACTTCACGTGTTCATTTGAGAACAGCTGTTACATACCTGGGTGAAGGTTACAGTTCATTTAAATGAAAGATACAACGTTACTCCACACTCATGGTTCAGTCCACCTTAAGAAATAAGACCGACCTCGGAAGCAGTTGTGTTTTAAAAAAACCTTTATTGACACGAGTACACTTTTTTAGAAGAATATAACTCAACCACAGAAATGACTCTGGAAAAGCTGCAGATAGAGCCTTAAGAAATGAATGCAACTGATTTCATCCGCGCGGTTTGGCTTTATGAAGCAGGCACGCAAACGGTTACGTCATGACGCAAACGATGACGCAACGACGCATTACCAGTCGGACTCTGGGCGGTGTGAAAAGAGCCAGAGCTAAACCGAAGAACTGGTTCTGAACCTGAAAAGCTCTAGCACGGAGCTTGAACCGGAGTAGCGTTGGTGTGAATGAGGTATTTTTGGTGTGAACGCAAAATCCCAGGAACTATCGGAACTAAAAGGGAAAGTACTCCGGTGTGAAAGCGCCTCTTGAGGGTTTTCTTTGGGGGGTTTTGTAAGGTTTCTTAGTTCTTGGGGGGTAATCTCTTCTAAGGGAGTTATGATGGATTTGTGAGGATATGTATAATATTACTTAAGGGGTTTCTTCAGTTCTGTAGAAGATCTTTTATCTGAATGTATATGTTTCTGGGAGAGTTCATGAAGTCTTGAAGGTCTTCTGGAAATAATTCTAGATATCAAACTTTATTTGATCTGTTTTTGTGTTGTTGCTTTCCTGATTTTCATTTGTAGCTACAACATGTTTGGACATTTCAAATTCTGCATCACTCTGGTTGGAGGATACTTGATCTTCAATGACCCGATATCAATCAACCAGGTGAGTCTTACTCTGCTGCCCTAAGGATTCAAACCAACAACCTCTGTCTCCCTTTCCATAATAATTTCCTCTGAATATCTTTCTCTTCTTCTCCTTCTGTCCCTCGTTCCCCCCTCAGGCGTTGGGGATCCTCTGCACTCTGGCTGGTATTTTGTCTTACACTCACTTCAAGCTGGCCGAACAGGAGGAGGGGAAGAGCCGCCTTGCTCAAAGACCATAGGCTGACGCACCTGTCAATCATCTGCACGGACTCCTGCCATTGGCCAACGCCTGCAGAGAACTCTTTATATATATAAAAAAAAGTATTTTTCTAGAAGAGTGAAGATGTTCATCGCTGTTCACCGACATTTCAACGCTTTTCACGTGGATTTTTGATCAACAAAACTCGTTTTTTAAAGGGAAACTGGGTGCTGGGAATAGAAGGCGTTCTTGACTTAATGAGACTTTAAAATGACAAAGCACAAATGAACATTTTTCAAACTGACTTTAATTCGAAACCACATTTTTTTTCATGCAATCAATTATTATATTGAGACAGTAGTCCAATTACTTTCAAGCTGTCCCTGTATATTATTCATCAATCAATATTTTAACACTTTTGAGCCAAATGACAAATAACGTCACCGATCAAAAGCTAATAAATAATAGGTTTAATGGTTTCACAGTATTTTGCGTTTATCCTGCTCTTGGTCTCGTTCAGTGTTATTTTCATTTGTTTTCCTAATTTCTTCACATGTTTGTATCAGTTCTTTCTACAGGAAGTGATGAGGATTTCCATCATTCCCACCTAGCTGTGATTTCTACTTCAGATTACAAAACGTTTACAATTGTCATTTAACTTTGCCGTGTTGAACATGCTCGGCCTGCTGAATAAAAACTGATGTAATGACAGTTCTTTAAAATCGTTTTTTTTGTAAAAACAATGCTGAACGATGTTTTATAAATGTTAAAGTAAAAAAACAACCCTAACCCTCTGAAATCACAGGATATGGTAGAATAAAGTTGCAGAAAATGTAAAAATCAAGGAAACCCGGGTCTTGCCTGAGGTTTAACTGTAAGAGAAACAAGTCAGTAAACCTGCTGTAGGTGCTCGTTGTACAAAATGTAAACATGGCTACATATATTACAACCACACCTAAATGCGCCTGTGAACAGCTCTTCTGTTTAGATTTCCTGTAGCTCTGAGCTGAGCCTTCAGTAATGTCAATAACTCTACAACAGCACCCCTTGTTCACACACACACACGAGCGCGGCATTGGCTCAGTCACTATGGTCTTGGACTGTGAGCCGTAGGGTCGCTGGTTCAAGTCCCCGAACAGACCTAAATATGAAGTGTGGACTGCTACTTGGAGAGGTCCCAGTTCACCTCCTGCCCTGCCGTGGTGCCCTTGAACAAGGCACTTGACAACCCCCTTCCCCCCCAACTCCAATTGCTCCCCGGGCGCTGTACAATAGCTAATACCAGGAGTCTAGTACTAGGAGCAGTGGCTCCTAGTACTAGACTCCTGGTATTAGGATGGGTTAAAAGCAGAGGCCAAATTTCACTGTGTGCTGTGTGCTCTGCATGTGTGACCATTAAAGAGGGGTTTCATTCCTCCGATTCTATCTACACACACACACACACACACACACACACACACAGAGCAGCTGTTCAGATGAATGAATGTGATGGAAAATACCTGTAATCTCCTGGGAAGGAACATTTTGGCGATGCTGTAAAAAAATTATTTTTACAGGTTTTGTTTTCCTATGAAAGTCCAATTTAGTTTACTCTGCTTTTAATGTAATTTAATTCCATGTAAGGTTGTGTTTTCTTTACATTAGGGTAGCATCGAGACTACAATGCACAGGGACATTGGGAGTTCAAAAGCACAGTTTTACAGTAAGTGTGTTTTCTGCTTGAGTTATTGATCCGTCAATATCTTTCAAAATAAACCGAACTATGGAAAGCCCTCTGTAACGCTAGTCTTATCGATATAGACTCAGAGAGCACATTAAAGCATTTATTTAAAGGCCTTTATCTTGTAATTATAAAGACATCTTAAAATATTTATCTATCAAGTGTCGGTTGATCTCTTTATACGTCCAAACTTTAACAGACGTGTGCTTTTATTTTTGAAATTACTCCCGCGAGTTCCGTACATTAATTAAAACTAATAAACTAAAACAATATTGCAGTCGCTTTTCCATTTACTGGCTTAAGACAGAACAACAATTGAAACGAAGGTACACGGACTAAGTGGACACATAACTGAATACATGATTTTAAAGAAACCGTCAGCCGTTGCTTTGCACACCGATGAGTAGCTGTCTTAAAAACTGCCTGTCCATATGACACGAACCAAAATAAAAATACAATACCCCTGGGAAAAGAAACAAAGCAATAACATTAAATACAAAATATGAATGTGTCCATACACGACACAAATATAATTTTAAAGTAAGTAAATATCTGGACATTTTCAGTAAGGCGTTATTGTGGATGCAACATGAGAGGGTCCTTCACACGGAAACCAGCGCTAATGACCGATGTTTGTTTTGCTACAATTAGCAGGTAAATCTTTCTCTGTTACTAAGATATTTACACGAAAATAACAACACTTAAGCATATATTTATATTTTATATGTTCTTATATTTACATTTCAAGGATTGAACATTCACCAACTGTCAGTTTCAAGCTGGCAAAACGTTTGTTTACATCGTGCGTTCAAGTGGCTAACGGTGCTAGCTTTAATAATGCTAACTCTGTTTTTATTATTTTTAGAATCATTTCTGTACACATTTATAACCTTACAATAGCTTTACAATACCACGAATAAATCTGTGTTATGAATGACTCAAATACAACTCAGTTGGTTTCGATAGTATGACCCTTAAAGAGAGTTAACATTGTCATGCTAACCAAGAAGCTAGGCTAGGTGGCTAACGAGTGGCGTCAGTTTGTGTCAGGTGTTTAGCCGTTGGAGAATTATATTGGATATTATTACTTTTTATTTAATGTTAGTCATAAAGAGTTTTTTGGTGTATTGTTTCGATTAGGTAGCCTGTATTTTGATCATATAACTGAATGCACTTATGCAACACTGTTAAAGTACAACACTACAAGTCAAAGTCCTGCATTCAATCCAAAATAGGTAAAAGGATTAATTAGAAACATGTACTTTCTTTGCAGTAAAATGACCTCTGTTAGTGTTTTATCCATAATGCATGAAGTATCTGGGCTTACATCACTGCTGTAAATGTTAATATGTATGGTGCATTTTAATGTTTATTTTTGCTAATTCTACTTCCTTTTATATATTTAAATATACAAAGTATTTTCCAGGTGATTCAACAGGCTTTTTTGAAACGTTATCGAGCTTAAAAATTGTGAATTTACAGAAGATATAAAAGAACAACAGTGGTTTTCACCGAACAGGAAGCGGATGAAACATTATAATCTAAACAAAAAGTGTGCTAAAAAGTACAATATGTATCTATCATTTGTAGTGGAGTAGAAAGTTAACAGTTGGATGAAATAGAAATACTTAAAGCTCCCATGTCATGCTTTTCCGGTTATTACCCGTCCCCTTGTGTTATGAAGGTTGTTCTGCATGTGAACGGTCTGCAGAGTCACAAACCCTCAAAGTACACCCTGTAGCGAGTAAAGCTCTAACACAGAGAAGACCTGTCTGTGCTGCCCCAGAACGCCTCGTTGGACATTCCTCTTTTTCTTCCTGGGTACAGTGACGTGACCATACCCAAATGGACCAATCCGTGGAGCTCCTCTCACACACACACACACCCACACACACACACACACACACACACACACACACACACACACACACACACACACATAGCAGCGAAACTGTGACGCGCTGGGGGGGGGGGGGGTGCTAGTGGAGCCTCGCAGCGACGAAACTGTGGCGCCCTTACACTGTAGGTGCCCCGAGTTTGGGGGTATGGGTGCTAGTGGAGCCTCGCAGATGGGGGTGCTGCAGCCCCCTCAGTACCGCATCCATTCGCGAGGTCTCGATGTCTCGCAGACCCCACGCAGCAAGCAGGAAATGAACCCAGCTCACACTGTCCGCAGCAGAGAGCCGCGCAACGTCCCGCCCACACGGCACCCAGACCCCACGCAGCATTCTCATCTGTCTGTCATCACTGGTGTCATTTCCTGGTTGCTAACAAACGCCATGGTAACACATAATCACTGATGTTCCGCTGTAACGGTGGTGGACTCATCAGAACAGAGTGGGCGAGCTGACCAATCAGAGCACAGTGGGCTCACAGGGAGGGGGGGGGGCAGGAGCTCCAACAAGCCGTGTAGGACAGAGAGTGAATACACAGACTCTACAGAGACGCTGTGAGAAACCAATGAGAGTTTGGAACCAGAGTTCCCGTTAGAATATTTTTCGCCGGTCAACATGTCCGTTAAAAGTTTAAATCTTCTGGACAAAATTTGAAAAGTGCCGGTCAAAGGTCTTCTTTGTTATTTATTGTGCTTTAAAACAAATTGATATGATTCGATATTAAACAAACTAATTATAGTAGATTAACTACATTATTCAAAAGTGAACAGTAACTATAATAACACAGGAATAATAAACGGAGTGCTCTCCCTCTCCTGACAGCCCGTCAGTATCATGCAGCTCGGGGATCAGTGATGAGAGACCCGACAGTGAAACTAAACATATCTATAACTAGTTACGGTAGTTTGAGAGGTCATTAAAATAGCTACGTGTGATATTCTAACCTGAAGTGTGTTTTGTCCGCTCACCGCTGCATGTGATCATGCAGAGCTGCGTGTCGACTCGTCAGCAGCAGCTGATCTCTCTCTCCCGTCAGATTAGACTTCACTCGCGTTTATGTCCATATCGATCAGATCCAGCTAGTTCTAGCTAATGATAGGACTACCTGCTTATTAAAAGACACCTAAACAATAAGCGTCGCTATGCAACCGGGTGAGGCCACAAAGTATAGCGCAGCATTATGCATTTGTTTACATGCCCACCGGAACCCTGAGGCATTACCAACAGATCAACGCACAATCAACCCACACAGGACATCTTTCTCCACATTACGTGTTGGACATTAGAATTGACTGTTCATGTCTGTCACATACTCTTCTTGTCTGTCACATAAGTGGCGCAACTGATGCGGTATTGCGCTAAAGGGAAATAATTTTGACCGGACACTTTGACCGGAGAGATTTAGATTTGCCGGCTAACGGGAACTCTGTTTGGAACATTGAACAATGTAAATCTATTCTAGTAGACCTCAACAATGGAATGATGATCAGTAGAAATGGCCATGACATGGGACCTTTTAAATAAAGTACTTCAAACGTGTACGACTTTAGTTTATGTCAGTTAAATTCAACAAGGGGCTTGGCAGTGACATTTCTGGAAACCACATCAATGTAGATTAGAAAACAGGTGGTCGGAACAGTTTTTAAAATTCTTAAAGCATTAATCACATGTTACTTGTTTTATCCAAAGCGACTCACATACTCAATACTGTGGGCAATCCCCACAGGAGCACTTTGGGGTGAAGTGTCTCAGGGACACAACGACATGCTGACTGCAGTGGGGTTTGAACCTGTGACCCCCTGATCCCAACACCAAGGCTCTATCCACTGCGCCACACGCCTCCTAATAAACAACCTTTCTCTTATCGTCTTCCCTCAGTATGCCTGCTGAACGCAAACGCTCATTAAACATGGATGAAAAAGATGTTTGCACCTTCAGCAACAAGGACAAGGAGAAGGAGCGAGATGGCGAGAGGAGACCATCGTCCGCCCGGGACAAAGGGAAAGACGAGGCCAAAATGAGCGGGAAAAAAGACAGCAGCAAGGAAGAGAAGAGGAAGCGCCTCGAGGAGGAAAAGAAGAAGAGGGAAGAAAAGGATCGTAAAAAGAAAGAGGAGGAAAAAGTGAAAGCGGAGGAGGAGCAGAAGAAGAAAGAGGAAGAGGAGAAAAAACTGCAGGAGGAGCAGGAGAAGCAACTTCAGGAGGAGGAAGCCAGGAAACAACGAGAGGAGGAGGCAGCTCTCCTGAAGTAAGTAAAGACACATTTTAATGCTGTTATCCTGTATCGCCCAATTGATGCTATTTCTACGCTAAAATGAATTTGTATTACTTTACATGGTGCAGGGGGGGGGGTCCGCGGGGTCTTAAAAAGTATTACAAGTTGATAAATCAATTTAGCGAAAATGAAGGCTATTAAAGGGCATTTTCCAAGGTGTTACATTGTGTAGCTTGTTTTCAATAAGTATATAAATGGTCCAAAGAGGTTGTATTCTGCAGTCTGCCTCCGTTGGGTTTGACGTCATCTGAACAGGACATCGCACGCTCACTGCTTGATAGCGCGGAGGCCCGTTTACGCCGGTTGTTAAACAACATCGTTATGGGGAAATGCAAGTCTGCGTCCAAATGGTTGGAAGATAAGGAGGAAGGACAATCAATACTGTGTATACAGTGTTGCTAACTCCATAGTATGGGAAAGTAGCTATTGGCTGTCCGAAAAGTCGCCAGAAGTCCCTAAATGACGTCATCGCCAAATTTGCATATCATGTAATGGCGGTAAAATAACGTTCCACCCCCTTCAAGGATCAAACTTGAAACCACCAGAGTAAATCCAGACCACAGAAGATCAGAAATGTCTCTATTAGAAAAAGTAGAAATATTTTTAGTAGAAATCTCCCTTACAATAAAGGCAGTGTGTCATCTCCAATAAATGTCTTCAACCATCCTTTAAACTCAGGGTTTGATTCCCACTCCTTTCTGTACTTTTGTGAATACAGTTTAGACTGTGACACGATGACTTACGTGGATGTTTAGCTTGTCGCAGTCAGAGAGGCACACACAGTGGACGAGGTGATGAAGTGACTGAAAAGTCCCTAATAACAAGTCGTTAGATCAGTCGTTAGTCGCTTTTGACAAAAATAAGTAGCCGGAGGGTTTGGAAAGCCGCCAAATTTAACGACAAAGTCGCCAAGTTGGCAACACTGTGTATATAGTCAATGTGAGGTAAAGTGTGTCGCCAAGGTAACCGGTTAGAACTCAAAGTGGCGATGAGGTCGTAAAATGTATGGAAAGGGTCTTTAAAAAAAGTCTTTAAAGGGTCTTACATGTGACTTCCTGCACATACCCTGATACACCAAAAGGTACAAAAAGCAAACAAACTATAGCCCATAGCTTACTCGCATCCTATACATTACAAAACATTCAAATTGTCCCATCTTTGTTCCAACATGTCCCTTTAGGAAGGAAACCCCAGTGTCTGTCTTCATGGTGCATCACTCATTTTCGCTTTACGTCAACTTTATTGTCACTCTTTCAGTTTGTGTGTACAGACCGTTTCCCACAATCCCGAATACAAAAGCAAATATATATAAGAATATGTATATACTATATTTACACAATCCAAGACACATTTACACATATGCACACGTTAAGACCTAAATAAAAGCACAACAATCCATATGTGACTGCTCCATCGAATCAGTCGCATTGACCCGAAGACACATGTTGAGTTATACGCTGCTGGAAAGAGGAGAGTCCTAGCTTTCTAATGATATCAGGATTGTTGTTGTTCTCCAAAAAAAACAACTATTTTTTTACGCGAATCCACGTTTATTTTGAAATGAGCCGTTGTGACCTCCGACTGATTCCGAGTAGCGGGTCACATATATACAAAATAACAGTCACTTCAATATCTTTGAGAATGTGCATTAGTGCAAGACTGTCCGTAGCAGCGTATACAAATAAATACATTTCTGCAGGGAGAAGGAGGAGAGCCATCAGCTGCACCAGGAGGCCTGGGAGCGCCATCACTGCAGGAAGGAACTCCGCGTCAAGAACCAAAACGCCCAGGAGGGTCGACCCGAGGAGGCTTTCTTCAGCCGCCTGGACTCCAGCCTGAAGAAGAACACGGCCTTCGTGAAGAAGCTGCGAACGCTCACCGAACAGCAGCGCGACTCGCTCTCCAACGACTTCGGCTCCCTGAACCTCAGCAAGTACATCGGCGAGGCGGTGAGCTCCGTGGTGGAGGCCAAGCTGAAGATCTCCGACGTGGGCTGCTCGGTCCACCTCTGCTCACTCTTCCACCAGCGCTACACCGAGTTCGCTCCGCTGCTCTTACAGGCGTGGAAGAAGCACTTTGAGGCGAGGAAGGAGGAGAAGGCGCCCAACGTGAGCAAGCTGCGAACAGACCTGCGTTTCATCGCCGAGCTCACCATCGTCGGGCTGTTCACAGACAAGGAGGGGCTGTCTCTGATCTACGAGCAGCTGAAGAGCATCATCGGGACAGATCGCGACACGCACACTCATGTGTCGGTGGTCATCAGCTTCTGTAAGCACTGCGGGGACGATATCGCCGGGCTGCTGCCCCGAAAAGTGAAAGCGGCCACTGAGAAGTTCGCTCTGAGCTTCCCTCCGAGCGAGATCATCGGCACGGAGAAGCAGCAGACCTTCCAGAACCTGCTGAGGGAATACTTCACCTCGCTCACCAAACACCTGAAGAAGGACCACCGCGAGCTGCAGAACACCGAGAGGCAGAACAGGTGAATTTGAAAGCTCTTGACTCGTGCACCTCAGCGGGGTTTACTTCATTCAATGATAAAAATCACTATCTATATTCTAACTACTTTTAATGTTCAAATTTGACCGGCCACATCACCATTGTTTTTTGGGATGGTGTCAGATGTACCAGCCTCGTGCGTATTTGACTAGCATTTGTCCGGTGAATTATGCTAATGTTTCGCCCTTTTCGGGAATATTCAGAGTCGTATACTTACTTAGATCAAACTTAACAATAACAACATGTCTTTGGAGGAAGAAGCCAGGTGATATTTGGCTAGAATAGGTCAAACTAAACTAGTTAATTTAAGCATTTCCTTTACATAACTTAAGACGGAAATTCTATGACTTTTACTCTACTTAAATATTATAAAACCAAGCAAGGACATTTGACACAGGACTATGGCTCAATAAAAACAATTAATGATAAAAATGATTCCTTATGGTTGATAACTCCTCTTCCCTTCTCCCGTCCTCTTCAGGCGTATCCTACACTCCAAAGGGGAGCTGAGTGAGGACCGACACAAACAATATGAAGAGTTTGCGACTTCCTACCAGAAGCTGCTGGCCAACACTCAGTCTCTGGCCGACCTGCTGGACGAAAACATGCCCGACCTTCCTCAGGACAAGACGGTGCAGGAGGGTGTGTGGCCTTTCTTTACCACAGTTCATCTGAGTTCACACAAAGTCTTGAAAATGTGAAAAATGGTTGTTTTAAATATTATGATTTCAAGGTTAGGAATATCTTTGAATTTAAATATTCCTGTTGATCCTTGAAAAAAGTCTTAAGAGTAGGGATGGGTATCGTTACGATTTTAACGGTACTACTACTTTTATCGATATCGCTTATCGATCCGGTCTTTTAACGGTTCTCTTTAAGGTAAACTAACATTGCTTTTTATTTAAATTAAATACATAATATTTCACATCAAAAGAAACAAATCGTATTAAATAATCTGATGACAGAATAGCTGAAACTTTAACTAACTAAATAACTCAGTTTCCTCTAATCATTAACCCATGTTTGTATCATGGAGTTAACTCTGTGTGTTGCTGCTAGCATACAGAACACCTGACGTGGAAACGTTCCTCGTGGACGGGGCTACAGAGCTGCTAGAAAGACAGTGGAACCCGGTGCATTCCTCCGTCTGGATGTGGAGCACTTTTGATAAATGTTTAGACACATTGCTCGTGTTGCCGCCCTCACATGATAAACTCTTATTGCACTTTAGTCAAGGAGCATCGAGACGGGTAAAGTTTAACCACCTTGGAGCGCTTCTCTCCGCCATCTCCTCCGTGTGTGTGTGTTGCTGCATGTAGCAGCTGCGTGTGTGTAAACTGCCCCGCCCCCTCGCACACAGACGGGAGAGAGATCTCGTCTGGATTGGAAAGATCGAAAATACTAAAAATAATCATAGACGCATTTTGCAGTCTTTTTGCGTATTAGAAACGGAGTTGGCGAAACTAAAACTGCAATATAATCTTTGTGTAGCAATAATACATATGACATATATATTTTACATGTCTCCAGTACCGATAACGTCGGAGCTTAACGGTACCACGGTCTTTAATAATTCAGCCCCGGGCCCCTTTAATACCGGGGCTCGGTACCCCTCCCTACTCAAGAGGCATTGAAGCCATTTGCATTTACTTCTTTAGGTATAAACTATTAGAAGTTAATTCTCTAAACTTCCTCATTTGCGATAGTTCTCATAGCAACTTAGATATTATGATAAAGGCTGCGAGTCTGTGGACGTTTGGGTTTAGATAGATAGTGTACGTACCCTGTTTTGTTGTCGAACAGTGACTCCTGTGAGGTCAACATGTATCTCATGTTTATTTGTCTCCTTTTTACTCTCTCAGAGCACGGCCCTGGGATCGACATCTTCACTCCCGGGAAGCCCGGAGAGTACGACCTGGAAGGCGGGATCTGGGAAGACGAAGACGCTCGTAACTTCTACGAGAACCTGGTGGACTTGAAGGCCTTCGTGCCCGCCATCCTCTTCAAGGACAACGACAAGGGCAAAGACAAGGATGAAGGCAAAGGTACGTTGATGATGATCACAACGACAGACGGAGAACATTTGATTTTGTTCTGACTTAAAGGTCACCGATTATGAAAAATCCTCTTCTTCATGTCTCTCCTACATCAACATGTGTCCCCTCTTCTTCATGTCTCTTCTACATCAACATGTGTCCCCTCTTCTTCATGTCTCTTCTACATCAACATGTGTCCCCTCTTCTTCATGTCTCTTCTACATGTCTCTTCTACATCAACATGTGTCCCCTCTTCTTCATGTCTCTTCTACATCAACATGTGTCCCCTCTTCTACATGTCTCTTCTACATCAACATGTGTCCCCTCTTCTTCATGTCTCTTCTACATCAACATGTGTCCCCTCTTCTTCATGTCTCTTCTACATCACCATGTGTCCCCTCTTCTTCATGTCTCTTCTACATCAACATGTGTCCCCTCTTCTCAATGTCTCTTCTACATCAACATGTGTCCCCTCTTCTCCATGTCTCTTCTACATCAACATGTGTCCCCTCTTCTTCATGTCTCTTCTACATCAACATGTGTCCCTCTTCTCCATGTCTCTTCTACATCAACATGTGTCCCCTCTTCTTCATGTCTCTTCTACATCAACATGTGTCCCCTCTTCTTCATGTCTCTTCTACATCAACATGTGTCCCCTCTTCTCCATGTCTCTTCTACATCAACATGTGTCCCCTCTTCTTCATGTCTCTTCTACATCAACATGTGTCCCCTCTTCTTCATGTCTCTTCTACATCAACATGTGTCCCCTCTTCTTCATGTCTCTTCTACATCAACATGTGTCCCTCTTCTTCATGTCTCTTCTACATCAACATGTGTCCCCTCTTCTTCATGTCTCTTCTACATCAACATGTGTCCCCTCTTCTTCATGTCTCTTCTACATGTCTCTTCTACATCAACATGTGTCCCCTCTTCTTCATGTCTCTTCTACATCAACACGTGTCCCCTCTTCTTCATGTCTCTTCTACATCAACATGTGTCCCCTCTTCTCCATGTCTCTTCTACATCAACATGTGTCCCCTCTTCTTCACGTCTCTTCTACATCAACATGTGTCCCCTCTTCTTCACGTCTCTTCTACATCAACATGCGTCCCCTCTTCTTCATGTCTCTTCTACATCAACATGTGTCCCCTCTTCTTCACGTCTCTTCTTCATCAACATGTGTCCCCTCTTCTTCATGTCTCTTCTTCATCAACATGTGTCCCCTCTTCTTCATGTCTCTTCTACATCAACATGTGTCCCCTCTTCTTCATGTCTCTTCTACATCACCATGTGTCCCCTCTTCTTCATGTCTCTTCTACATCAACATGTGTCCCCTCTTCTCCATGTCTCTTCTACATCAACATGTGGTCCCCTCTTCTTCATGTCTCTTCTACATCAACATGTGTCCCCTCTTCTTCACGTCTCTTCTACATCAACATGCGTCCCCTCTTCTTCATGTCTCTTCTACATCAACATGTGTCCCCTCTTCTTCACGTCTCTTCTTCATCAACATGTGTCCCCTCTTCTTCATGTCTTCTTCTTCATCAACATGTTGTCCCCTCTTCTTCATGTCTCTTCTACATCAACATGTGTCCCCTCTTCTTCATGTCTCTTCTACATCACCATGTGTCCCCTCTTCTTCATGTCTCTTCTACATCAACATGTGTCCCCTCTTCTCCATGTCTCTTCTACATCAACATGTGTCCCCTCTTCTTCATGTCTCTTCTACATCAACATGTGTCCCCTCTTCTTCACGTCTCTTCTACATCAACATGTGTCCCCTCTTCTTCATGTCTCTTCTACATCACCATGTGTCCCCTCTTCTTCATGTCTCTTCTTCATCAACATGTGTCCCCTCTTCTTCATGTCTCTTCTACATCAGCATGTGTCCCCTCTTCTTCATGTCTCTTCTACATCAGCATGTGTCCCCTCTTCTTCATGTCTCTTCTACATCAGCATGTGTCCCCTCTTCTTCATGTCTCTTCTACATCAGCATGTGTCCCTCTTCTTCATGTCTCTTCTTCATCAACATGTGTCCCCTCTTCTCCATGTCTCTTCTACATCAACATGTGTCCCCTCTTCTTCATGTCTCTTCTACATCAACATGTGTCCCCTCTTCTTCATGTCTCTTCTACATCAGCATGTGTCCCCTCTTCTTCATGTCTCTTCTACATCAACATATGTCCCCTCTTCTTCATGTCTCTACTACATCAACATGTGTCCCCTCTTCTCCATGTCTCTTCTACATCAACATGTGTCCCCTCTTCTTCATCAACATGTGTCCCCTCTTCTTCATGTCTCTTCTACATCAACATGTGTCCCCTCTTCTCCATGTCTCTTCTACATCAACATGTGTCCCCTCTTCTTCATGTCTCTTCTACATCAACATGTGTCCCCTCTTCTCCATGTTCTCTTCTTCATCAACATGTGTCCCCTCTTCTTCATGTCTCTTCTACATCAACATGTGTCCCTCTTCTCCATGTCTCTTCTACATCAACATGTGTCCCCTCTTCTTCATGTCTCTTCTTCATCAACATGTGTCCCCTCTTCTTCATGTCTCTTATACATCAACATGTGTCCCCTCTTCTCCATGTCTCTTCTACATCAACATGTGTCCCCTCTTCTTCATGTCTCTTCTACATCAACATGTGTCCCCTCTTCTCCATGTCTCTTCTTCATCAACATGTGTCCCCTCTTCTCCATGTCTCTTCTACATCAACATGTGTCCCCTCTTCTCCATGTCTCTTCTACATCAACATGTGTCCCCTCTTCTCCATGTCTCTTCTTCATCAACATGTGTCCCCTCTTCTTCATGTCTCTTCTACATCAACATGTGTCCCCTCTTCTTTCTTCAATGTCTATTCTTCATCAACATGTGTCCTCCTCTTCTCCATGTCTCTTCTTCTACATCAACCATGTGTCCCCTCTTCTTCATGTCTCTTCTACATCAACATGTGTCCCCTCTTCTTCATGTCTCTTCTACATCAACATGTGTCTCCTCTTCTTCATGTCTCTTCTACATCAACTGTGTCCCCTCTTCTTCATGTCTCTTCTACATCAACATGTGTCCCCTCTTCTTCATGTCTCTTCTACATCAACACGTGTCCCCTCTTCTTCATGTCTCTTCTACATCAACACTTGTCCCCTCTTCTTCATGTCTCTTCTACATCAACATGTGTCCCCTCTTCTTCATGTCTCTTCTACATCAACATGTGTCCCCTCTTCCATGTCTCTTCTACATCAACATGTGTCCCCTCTTCTCATGTCTCTTCTACATCAACACGTGTCCCCTCTTCTTCATGTCTCTTCTACATCAACATGTGTCCCCTCTTCTTCATGTCTCTTCTACATCAACATGTGTCCCCTCTTCTTCATGTCTCTTCTACATCAACATGTGTCCCCTCTTCTTCATGTCTCTCCTACATCAACATGTGTCCCCTCTGTGGAAAGAGACTCTGAAAGTTTCAGGAACAAAGATTCTCTCTCTTTTTGATCCATTTCTATAAAAACCTGTCTGAAAATGAGCTGATCAGATTTCGGCCACTTGATGATGTCATAACGATGTTTTGTCTTTAGCCATTAGCCAATCAGCAACCAAGGTAACCCCCCCCCCCTTATCACCTGAATCTCCTCTAGAGCTCCATTGAGTTCTTTGTAACCAAATCTCTCTCAGAGGGGCGTGGGGAGGGGCTCCTTATTTCCATCTAAAGTAACAGACAGAGAATCAGCACTTTGGAAACAGGGCTGAAACAGAGGGGATTATGGGTAATGCTGCAATGATCTGTTTGGTGTTTCAGCCAATCAGAGACAGGCTCTGTTTATATCTGAGACCTGTGATATATTGATGAAGAACAGTATAATAGGGGACCTTTAATGTTGTTTTGTTCAGACGGGAAAGACGGGAAGGAGGCAGCAGCGAGCACCACAGAGGAACTGGAGCTGGAGCTCGAGGCTCTGGACATCGCAGACGAACCTCTGGAGCTGGAGGGACCCGACGAGGCGGAGAGTGAAGAGCTGGCCAAGAAACTGCTGGATGAGCAAGGTAAATGTTAGAAGAATCTCCCTGGTCCCCGGCTTGAGCTTCAGCCTCAGGATCCATGTGTCTGTGATCCTCTCCAGAATGGAAGGAGTCATCACATACAGAGCATCAACTAGTTCCTGAACAGTGTCCTTCACATGCTGATATCCAAGAGAGGGAGTTACACAGTCACAAGATGGAGGAATAGAAAGCAGTATTCAATGTTTACTTCAGATTAGCTCCACGTCAGAAATGAGCATGCTTGATGTCTCTCTCCATAGAGGCTGAATCATCATGTTAATCACATAGCTATCATCTGCCTCAAACAGTCCAGATGCTCTTCTAGGTAATCACACATCCTGTCATGTTCACAGCTACAGTTGATACCTTTGTTATCATGTGACTCTCAGACTGGAAGAGTACGTTCAGTGTTTTCCAAACAGTGAACATGAGCATCGTTCTGGAAAATCAACTCTGTACTTACCAAGATGGTGTATTTGAATAGTGTTCCCATGAAGTTACTTAACTGTATATAATTTAAAACCTTTTTTCCCCGGTCAACCTAGTGCAAGCAGCGTTGTTCGGGGAAGCAATGCCTATAATATTTGCTTATTTGATGATCGTATATCAAGAATGTCTTAATGAGGGAGAGTGAGTAGATTTAAAAACAAACCAAAAATCTTAGTTTAATTCTTACATGTATTTTACTCTGTGTGTGTGTGTGTGTGTGTGGTGTGTGTGTGTGTGTGTGTGTGTGTGTGTGTGTGTGTGTGTGTGTGTGTGTGTGTGTGTGTGTGTGTGTGTGTGTGTGTGTGTGGTGTGTGTGTGTGGTGTGTGTGTGTGGTGTGTGTGTGTGTGTGTGTGTGTGTGTGTGTGTGTGTGTAGAACAAGAGGATGAAGAGGCCAACACGGGGTCTCACCTGAAGCTGATTGTTGACGCCTTCATCCAGCAGCTGCCCAACTGTGTCAACAGAGACCTCATAGACAAGGTGATTTATACGGAGATACAACAAGAGTGCTTGACATTTTAAACGTTGTGGCTGTATGCCGTAATGCTTGCTTTGTGTTTGATTACGTGACACAGGCATCTTTCACCTGAGAGACACATATAGTTACAGATGAGTAATGGCAGGAGGAGGATGTTGATTGAGTTTGTGAGCTCTGTGTTGACTCCTGCAGGCGGCCATGGATTTCTGCATGAACATGAACACCAAATCCAACCGGAGGAAACTGGTCAGAGCGCTCTTCACCGTCCCCAGGCAGAGGTAGGGCTTTGTTCATCTACAACCACTACATAGAAGCAGCCCTTAGCAAAGAGTCATAAGCCCAATCCCAAACTACCCCCTACACCCTACCCCTACACCCTACCCGTACACCCTACCCCTACACACTACCCCTCCGTTTGCGCGTTCACGCGGAGGGTCCGCCACATTAAGTGCTGTTCCAAAGCAACGAGTGTGGAGCGGTGTGGAGGGGGAGTGGGCTATCAAGCCCTCAAACAGCGAGTCTGCAGCGGTGCTGACTTGAGACCGGTCTCTACCTGACCGGAGTCACGCTGTGTGTGTCCGTCAGGAAACACGCTGTTTACAAGTAGTTCCAGCAAACATCCACTGATAAACTGCGATGTTAACAACCTCATGATAACCTCATATGTTTTAACTTAGGATCAAACCTGTGTTTAGTCTAGAAAAAGGTAAATGTGTGCATTTTATTATAAAGTTGTGTATTTACAGACCGTTGCAAAAACTAAGAAGCTTATAAACATCAGGTTTAAAACTAAAAGAGCTTTGAAACACAATGAAAGATGTTTGGAGTTTTATTTGAGTTATTCATTTAAACTTTTTGTCTAAGAGATGCTGATTTGAAACCGTTGATACATACAGTTACGGCACTTCCTGTTTCTGCCGGAGAGAGGGGAGGCCGTCCCAAAGCTTGCTGCTGTATTTACTCCCTCCATCTGACAGGAGGGAGCCTCGTTGAGTTGACTCCGTCACGGAGGGGTAGGGTGTAGGGCGTGGTTTGGGATTGGGCCTGAGTTTAGTCCCTCCAGCATCTTAATAAGCTTTTAAAAAAGACAATGAAGATCACACAAGTGAAAGCAAACCTAGAAAATACATCGTAAACTTATCGACGTTTCTATTCAAGCTAGGATTTGTTCATAGCTGGGTGTTTATCGATGTCAACATATCCCATAAAAGGGATAGTGTTGAACAGAAATGTGCAAAATATGTGAGTCTTGTCATGGATTTATTAATAATACATTTTATTTAAGGTGCCTTTCATGACACCCAAGGACACCGTACAATTTGTTAAATATTCTAAGAGGTAAAAGCAACAGAACACGACAACACAAACATACCATCATGGAGAAGACAATTAAAGTGGACACAAATGATAGGGACAGGATATTCAGGGGAAACGGATGGTAGGGAGCACTACAGTGAGTAGGCTGATCTGATTGGCTTTAAGGAGAATACAGAACACAGTGTACCTCCACAGAACACCAGGGGGCGATATCATCATAGGTTTTGGTCTGAATATCTTCACATCACTGCTTCCTCCTTCTCCTGCAGGTTGGACCTCCTTCCCTTCTACTCTCGCCTGGTGGCCACTCTCCATCCCTGCATGTCGGACGTGGGTGAGGATCTGTGCTCCATGCTGAAGGGAGACTTCAGGTTCCACGTACGTCCTCTTATATACTAATATTACTAGGGCTGTCAGTCGACAAAAATATTTAATCCCTAATTAATCTCATATTTTTGATGTTCTAAATGCACCTTAGAGGAATATTTTTCAAGTTTTTAATACTCTTATCAACATGTGAGTGGACAAATATGCTTTATGCAAATGTTTGTTTATTATCATTTGAACAATGACAAATATTCTCTTGAATATTCTCAACACAACAACCTGGAATCTCTCTCTCTCTCTCTTCTCTCTCTCTCTCTCCCTCTCTCTCTCTTCTCTCTCTCTCTCTTCTCTCTCTCTCTCTCTCTCTCTCTCTGTAGCCCCCCATTTAGCTATCGCTGTTGTTGTCCAGGCGTCTCCCCGGTAAACTTTCAAGCGTGGTCTTTCGCAAGCGAGCGGCAGGAGCGGGGCTGAGCATCAGCTGGGGGCTTGGCTTGCTGTTTAAAGCACCTTTACTTGTATCCATATCTCTCGCTAGAAACTCCCACCATCCAACTAACAACAACAACAACAACGTCAAGCCTTTGGGCTCTGAAACTACGGGGCGGGCCCGTGACCTTTTTTAACTCAGGGCCCACTTAAGAATCTAAACTATGTTTATAATACATTACATTAGAAGATAGACTGGATTTTTCTCACTGAACAAGTCAAACTGAAAAACATCAAAAGCACTCATTTATTTTTTAAGTTGATTAATTCCTCATCTTTAACTTACTGTAAAACACCTTTTCAGTATTTGTGAAGATTAACGTGTTAAAAATGTAATTAAATACTGATTAAATTATTGTTTTTACTGTTTATTACCTCGTATAGGAGTATTTGACCCACAAGGGAATATTCGTATTCTTTTGATTACCAGTAACAGCTCATACAAATATGTAATGTACTGGGAGAAAATGTATATTGAGCAGAATTAAGTTATTTTGATTCGGCCCCCCAACACAGCTCGGGTTTCTGATGTGGCCCCTTGTAAAAATGAATTGCCCACCCCTGAGTTACAACGTCTTTCTTTCTGACATCTTGCTGTTTGTGCCGTAGATGCGTAAGAAGGACCAGATCAACATCGAGACCAAAAATAAAACGGTCAGATTTATCGGAGAACTGGCCAAGTTCAAGATGTTCCCAAAGACTGACACGCTTCACTGTCTCAAGGTGGGAGGAAAACATCTTTCTCTGTGTCTTCTTTTATCTATAATGGGATCATTTATAATATTAAATGTGTGTTTTTTGAACAGATGCTGCTGTCAGATTTCACCCATCACCACATAGAGATGGCGTGCACGCTGCTGGAGACGAGCGGACGCTTCCTCTTCAGATCCCCCGAGTCCCACCTGCGCACCAGCGTCTTACTGGTGAGGAAACTGATTTTAAAGATTGTATTTATTTAGTTGAAGACAGACTTGAAAACTCTCTGAAACCTAGAAAGACTCAACAAAACAAAATACACCTGTTTCCGGCGCAGTGGTTTCAAAATGGTAGAACAAGCTTCTAAAAACTTCCACCAATAACAGTTGGTCTATCTTTGGAAAGTGACATTAATTAAGGATGCGTGAATGTTACGCCCAGATCTAGGGGAACCTAGGCGCAGCATAAAATTGCCCTCTCCCAACTCTTCCCACTCCCAAGAAATGGTAAACGACACAGGAAAATCAGCTTTTTGAGATTGAATAACTCAAAGAGAGGTGAGACAACCCCAACATACCAAACAAACAACGTCTTCACAGAGTTTCCTTAAACTTGCCTAACAAAACAAATAAAATAAAATACAGGCTTCTTACCTACTCTTACCAGTAAACAGGAGAAAAAGGTTCAAACTAAAAGAGGGTTTCTCACTCCTAAACAAATCAAAGCGTGTCTACAAAGACAGGTAAAGGTAGTTTCTCTTTCTAAGGTTTCACAACAAGCAAAAGGACCGGTATACGGTATAAGTATACACACAGGACAGATATCTCAATACGCAAGTGTGTTAGGAGTAGAAGTCGAGTCAGAGAGGGCTCCGAGGAACTGCACGGCTGCAGCTTAAAAATGCTCCCGTCTCCTCAGGTGGACCAATCAGCCTGACGAGGGTAGCTAATCAGCTAACGGGCACCACCTGCTTGCTCACACACACACACACACACACTCACTCACTCACTCACTCACTCACTCACTCACTCACTCACATAGAAGGAGGGAAAAATATACACACAAATGACCTAGGGTCGTAACAGTGAAATTAGATTTTTTTGCTGTTTATATGAAGTCAGATTGAAAAAATCAGCAAAGAAATTGCCATTTATACTTATATCTGCCAGAGTGTAATATTTACCTCATAGAAAATGCAGCTTAAACATGACGTGTTGCTATAGCAACGCCTTTTGTCTACTGCGGTTCCTTATAGATAGAGAGAGAGATGGAGAGAGAGAGAGATGGATAGAGAGAGAGAGAGATGGAGAGAGAGAGAGAGATGGATAGATAGAGAGAGAGAGAGATGGATAGATAGAGAGAGAGAGAGAGAGAGAGAGAGAGATGTATAGAGAGAGAGATCCTTTGATGAGAACAGCACCATCATCATGAGCTCCTGAAGATTTCAACTTTTCTGTTTTTAAAATGAGATAAACTTAAACTTTTCTGACAAAATTATAAGAAGAAACACCTGTGGAACGGATTGACCTACCTGGAAACAAAAAAAGAAAGAGATACGGCAAGAAACTTGGGAAAATACGGTTCAACTGAAGAACCCAGCAGATAAGCTAACCAACTGCTAACCAACTGCTAACCAACTGCTAACCAACTGCCAAACTGACGGTTTGCCTAACTGTCCTGCTAGCTAACCGACACTGTTCAACTGAAGAACCCAGCAGAGAATGTAACCAACTGCCAAACTGACGGTTTGCCTAACTCTTGACCTGACAATCAACATCGGCACCTCTATTGTTTCCCCGACTCAGACTGCAAGGAATCTGGGTGTGACCCTAGATAACAACCTGTCCTTCACTGCAAACATCGCTGCTACAACCCGCTGCTGCAGATACACGCTTTACAACATCAGGAAGATACGTCCCCAGCTGACTCAGAAAGCGACTCAGGTTCTGGTCCAGGCTCTCGTTATCTCACGCCTAGACTACTGCAACTCCCTCCTGGCTGGTCTACCTGCATGTGCCATCCGACCTCTGCAGCTCATCCAGAATGCAGCGGCTCGTCTGGTCTTCAACCTTCCTAAATTCTCCCACACCACTCCGCTCCTCCGCTGCCTTCACTGGCTTCCGGTAACTGCTAGAATCCACTTCAAGACAATGGTACTTGCTTACCGTGCTGCGAATGGATCTGACCCTTCCTACATCCAGGACATGGTTAAACCGTACACCCCAGCGCGTGCACTCCGCTCTGCATCAACCAAACGGCTCGCTGCACCCTCGCTGCGAGGGGGACCCAAGTTCCCATCAGCAAAAACACGTGGGTTTGCTGTCCTGGCTCCAAGATGGTGGAATGAGCTCCCCATTGACATCAGGACAGCAGATAGCTTGCACATCTTCCGGGGAGACTAAAAACTCATCTCTTTCGACTCCACTTCGAGCGATAGAATTATTAACAAAGCACTTATATACTAATAAAGGGCTGGCTTACCTAAAGCCAGCTGAGTAGCACTTGAAATGTTTGGCTCTATGAAACCTGATGTACTTATATGATTCTGTTTTCTTCAAGTTTGTATTTTGTTGGTCGAACGCACTTATTGTAAGTCGCTTTGGATAAAAGCGTCAGCTAAATGTAATGTAATGTAACTGTCCTGTTCAACTGAAGAACCCAGCAGAGAATGTAACCAACTGCTAACCAACTGCCAATCTGACGATTTGCCTAACTGTCCTGCTAGCTAACTAACACCAAGCTAAGAAGAGGCATTCAGGAGTAACAACAGCAGCAGTTCGGCAGCAGCAGAGCCCCATGGCTTCAGCCACAGCCTGTACAGAGGCTGTTCCTCTTGTATACCCACAAGAGGTAAAAAATGACAGTGCCAGGAAGGCATACAAACTAAAACTGTTGAAGGATAGACCAGAGACTCTCTTTGCTGACCTGTACAAGAGTGGAGAAGTCAGCAATCTGATCTTCCTCACAGACCAGCCATTAGCATGGCACGCCGCCATAAGTGCCCACTACCCTTCTGTGAAGAAAGAGGGGATCTGCAATGGCTGGAAACTCAAAATTAAAGAGGTAGAAGACCCAGACACTGTCATGACAACAGTCAACATCTATAAGAACGGGACTGTCATGGTGCAGGAGAACCTCACACAATTTGAACTGGACTTTCTCCTTATAAAGGAACGGGCCCAACAGGAGAAATCTGCCCCCACTTAGAACAACCACACCCTGCCAGAGAAGGACACCACCCCCACTTCTGGCTGCCCCACTGCTGACCCTGAGGAGGGAGAACCCGCCGGCCCAGAACAGGCCCAGGACCCCCAGCTGAACCACACCATCACTGACCTGAAGGTGAAGTTCACAGAGTTGGAGAGAGAGCTCGTACAGTTGCGAGAGCTGATCAGCCAACAGCCAACCCAGGACACCACGGTCCAGGGGGACTCGTCTGCCATCAGCACAGAGCTCACCAAGCTGAGGCAGGACAGAGACAGCCACAGGAGAGAGCTGTCCACCGTGAGGACTGAGGTGCGAGAGCTGCAGCAGGACAGAGAGAGTCACATGGCACGGCTGGCCGCTCTGACAGAGGAGGTGAGGGAGCTGAGAGAGGAGGGACAAAGCTATAGGAGAGAACTGACTACTCTATCTGAGGAGCTTCAGGAGACAGAGAGAGTTGCACAGGCCCTGAAAGAGCAGCTGGACTCACACCCAGACCACAACCAGAACCCTGTGACCCCCATTGAGAGCAGCCAGAACCCTCCAACTCAGCAGCCACCCTCTACCCCCAGCTCCATCTCTAGCCCACAGGCTAACCCAACTCCCAGATCTCCCCCCATCACACAGATGAACACCACCCCTAGCCCACAGACTAACACCACCCCTCATCCTTCCAGACCAGCACAGCAGAGAGAGAAGCCAGACATTGTCAATCTCATCGACTCCACAGGCAAATTCAACATGACCGGACCAACATGCCATGGACCTGCTGTCAGAGGAGCTGCTGGAAATTGTTTAATTAATTAATTGTATTTGTATTTTTTTTCTTATCATATATCCTTGACGCTTTGACAATATTGTTCACCTGACATTTCATCCCTGTGCGATCAAAACTCACTGTTCTACATGATAAATAAAAGAACATTGTACCTTGAAAATCAATAGCGGGTAAATGTGACCTCTAGTGTTAAACACTCGTCTCCCTGTGTGTTTTCCAGGAGCAAATGATGCGTAAGAAGCAGGCTCAGCACCTGGACGCCCGCTACGTGACGATGGTGGAGAACGCCTACTACTACTGCAACCCTCCGCCCATGGAGAAGACGGTGAAGAAGAAGCGGCCGCCGCTGCAGGAGTACATCCGGAAGCTTCTCTACAAGGACCTGTCCAAGGTGTTTTATCCGAACTACATCGGCTGCCAGTGTCTTTTAGAATTGATTTTTAAATTGTTTTACTGGTATTTAAAGCTCTTAATGGTTTGGCACCCACTTATCTCACTGTTGTTGTATGCCCCTGGACGAGCCCTGAGGTCAACCCCCTACTTTTAATGTTCTTTTACATTGTTTTCTTTAATATTTTAATCGTTTTATTAGAATTATGACATTTTTATTACTATATATTTTTTAAATTATTTCTGTTGTACCTATATGTTCACTTTGTTTTATGGGGTTTTATATTGTTGCATCGACTCAGTTGTCTTGACCTGTCAGAGAGAAACCATTATTTATTTTATTTTTATTAGGGATGCTCCGATATTCACACTATATTTCGCTGCATGGACCTTTTTAAAGTTCTTAACAAATAATCTGAGGGGAATTTCTTGTTGTTTATTTTTAACTTGTGATGTGTCATTTTATAAAGCACTTTGAGCTGCATGAAAGTGCTATATAAATAAAGCTTTATTATTATCATTATAAGGTGACCACGGAGAAGGTGCTGCGGCAGATGAGGAAGCTTCCCTGGCAGGACCCCGAGGTGAAGAGCTACCTGATCTGCTGCATGGTGAACATCTGGAACGTGAAGTACAACAGCATCCACTGCGTCGCCAACCTGCTGGCGGGGCTGGTGGCGTACCAGGAGGACGTCGGGATCCACGTGGTGGACGGGGTGCTGGAGGACATCCGGCTGGGCATGGAGGTGAGGAGGAAGGGTCTTATACTCTGATTGCCTTTTACACTGTTAAATTGTATTTTTTTTAGTCTTGTATGTATTTAACAGAGACATATGTTTCAAGGATTCAAGGCTTCTATTGCCATGTGTACAGAGCTACAGTGTAGTTACTAGGGATGGGTACCGAGCCCCGGTATTAAACGGGCCCCCGGGGCTAAATTATTAAAGACCGTGGTACCGTTAAGCTCCCACGTTATCGGTCTTTTTATCGGTACTGGAGACATGTAAAAATATGTATATGTATTATTGCTTCACAAAGATTATATTGCAGTTTTAGTTTCACCAACTCCGTTTCTAATACGCAAAAAGACTGCAGAATACGTCTATGATTATTTTTAGTATTTTCGATCTTTCCAATCCAGACGAGATCTCTCTCTCTCCTGCCTGAGGGGGCGGTGCAGTTTACACACACGCAGCTGCTACATGCAGCAACACACACACACTCTGCTACATGCAGCAACACACACACGGAGGAGATGGCGGAGAGAACGCGCTCCGAGGTGGTTAAACTTTACCCGTCTCGATGCTCCTTGACTAAAGTGCAATAAGAGTTTATCATGTGAGGGCGGGAACACGAGCAATGTGTCTAAACATTTATCAAAAGTGCTCCACATCCAGACGGAGGAATGCACCGGGTTCCACTGTCTTTCTAGCAGCTCTGTAGCCCCGTCCAGAGTAACGTTTCCACGTCAGGTGTTATGTATGCTAGCAGCAACACACAGAGTTAACTACATGATACAAACATGGGTTACTGATTAGAGGAAACAGAGTTACTCTTTATTTAGTTAAAGTTTCAGCTATTCTGTCATCACATTATTTAATACGATTTGTTTCTTTTGATGTGAAATATTATGTATTTAATTTAAATAAAAAGTTTTGTTCACAATTTGTTTATTTATTTCTCAAAAGAGAACCGTTAAAAGACCGGATCGATAAGCGGTATCGATAAAAGTAGTAGTACCGTTAAAACCTTAACGATACCCATCCCTAGTAGTTATGTACACATGAACATCTTAGGTCACAGGCTCCTCCTCCAACAGTGCAACACAATAAGACAGATAAAATAGAATATAACAGAAATTGTGCAGAATAGTCTAAATACAAGTAATTGGAATATTGATAAGTTACAAACAGATGAATGTTATGGATGTTCCTTCAAAAGTTCAGGTGTGTATATTTACATATGTTAAGGATTTACCTTTCAGGAGGCAAAGGAAGTGTACAAGGGGGATTAAATGGTTAAGGACTGGGGGTTTAGTGGTTTAATGATGGGATGGAGGACCAGTTGTTTCCTCTCATGAATATATAGAGAGACTGTAAGCAGAACTTCTTTATCCTCTGAGGAGGAAGTAGCTCTGTTCCTGCATTTCAGATCCATTCCACTTGTATATTGACTTTCTTTATTCTTTGTTCAATATAACAAAAGACAAACTTTTGGCATGAATAATTGATCAGCTCCTCTTAAGAGTTTCGGGGATGCAGACCCACTGGGATGTAGTAACTCTTGCTAAGTAACAGACTATAGATACAAAGATCGATTAGACATAGGGCTTTTGTTTAGCCTTTCAAAAACAAGATTTATCTCGCTGTAAGGCACGCAGCTGTATTAACGGGACTCTTGCGCTAAGGTTATTTCCTGATGAGGGCAGAATGTGGAGTTGGGTTCAGCGACAGGACAGGAAGTCAATAAAAACAGTTGCTAATCTTAATTGACGGTTTGACAGGAGGAAGTGTTGCTGCTGTCATTATTATTAGATGTTTTTGACACGAGAGAATGCTGTCTGGCTTCATGCTCACGAGGTTTTGCACACCACCTTTTAGCTTGGCTGAACACATGACAGAGTTAATATGTAACACTGTTTGTCTCAAATCAGTCCAACCATCCAGAGTTTAACAAGTTTTCATAGTATTTATCTCATGATATTGTAAACTGTCATATCCAAAGTAAGAGTAAGTAACTGTCTAATTACGCTTTCTTTATACTAGGGGTCGACCGATAATCGGCTTATCGGGGCCGATATTCCGCATTTGACCGATTATCGGTATCGGCCTTTTTTTTATCAAATTGCCGATAAAACTTTGGCTCTGATGCGGCCGTTTCTCTGGCTGCAGTCACCACTCTGTGTACACGAGCAATGTCCCGCCCACAGCGCTATCTGATAGGCTATTACTGAAGATTTTCCGGGCGGGAGCCAGAGAGGCGGGACCTTCTCAGATTACAGGCAGGTGCGAAAGAACGCAGACACAGACTGAAGCAAGCAGCAGCGCTGAGCGGCAGAGCCATACATGTGTTAAACCGAAGTTCAATAAACATCCCTATCCCCTATGCTGAAGTTTCAAAAACACCACGATCTTATGATCCAATTCTATCAGTTTCCCAGTTACACAGGGACGCGGGAAGTCAGTCAGAGTTGGGGGTGCGTGCAGCGTCTCGCAGCGGAGTAACTGTGGTGCGGGGGGGGGGGGGGGGCTGCGAGTGGGGCCTCGCAGTTTTTCAGGTTGATATGTGAAGCTCATTAGCTAGCCAACATGTATCTAGCAAATGTTTAGCAAAATATTAGAAGTGAGGCGACGAGACTAACGTTAGGTCTACTGTGATAGCCTCACTTTTAATAGTTTGCAAAACATTAGCTAGCACTAGTGTTTTGCAGTTGCTAGCAGCTTATTGGGATGTTATGCTAGATAGACAGATCTAATAAATTAAGCATTATTGTTAGTTAAGCATGTCAGCCTGCAGCCCCACTTCTTGTCTCTCTCTCTCTAACTCATTGCAGATGACTGCACTAAAGAAAAGGGCACAGAGAGGAAACCAGTTGTAAGATGTTTAAAAGTTAATTAAACATAATATATGCTTAAATGCATTTCAAAGAAGTTGAGGTGTGTTGGAGTTTGTGTTATTCTACATTTTGACACCAAGATTTTCTGATTTTATTGCAAATGTATATCGGTTCCAAATATCGGTTATCGGTCTCCTTGATTACTAATAATCGGTATCGGTATCGGCGTTGAAAAAGCCATATCGGTCGTTTCCTACTTTATACATACTAAATAAACATATTATTATTATATTTCCTTTTACCTCCAGGTGAACCAGCCGAAGTTCAATCAGCGACGCATCAGCAGCGCTAAGTTCCTCGGCGAACTTTACAACTACCGCATGGTGGAGTCGGCGGTTATTTTCAGGACCCTCTTCTCCTTCATCTCTTTCGGGATAAATCAGGACGGCAGCCCCAGCGCTTTGGATCCTCCGGAGCATCTGTTCCGGATCCGGCTGGTTTGCACTCTGCTCGATACCTGCGGACAGTACTTTGATCGAGGGTCAAGCAAGCGGAAACTCGACTGCTTCCTCATCTACTTCCAGGCAAGTTTTACAGCTAATTAACCTCCACTTCCTGTCTCAAGACTCTCAGTATCTTGATCCTGATTATCCAGAATATTGTAGAAATTGTATTATTTTTCTTTTGCAATTTTCATATGAATCCAGAGACTGTCTGGTCTTCCATGTTAAATAATAATAATGTTCTGTGTGTCTGCAGCGCTACATCTGGTGGAAGAAGAGCACCGAGGTTTGGACCAACGATCACCCGTTCCCCATCGACATCGACTACATGATCAGTGACACCCTGGAGCTGCTGAGGCCCAAAATGAGGCTCAGCAGCTCCTTGGAGGAGGCCACCAAACACGTGTCTGACCTGGAGAGGGAGGTACTCTTTAAACTAGGTAAGAAATACTGAAATACACCTGAACATCAGCAGGAGAGGACTCTTTAAAGTAGAGACACTACATACTGATATACACCTGAACATCAGCAGGAGAGGACTCTTTAAAGTAGAGACACTACATACTGATATACACCTGAACATCAGCAGGAGAGGACTCTTTAAAGTAGAGACACTACATACTGATATACACCTGAACATCAGCAGGAGAGGACTCTTTAAAGTAGAGACACTACATACTGATATACACCTGAACATCAGCAGGAGAGGACTCTTTAAAGTAGAGACACTACATTAGGGATGGGTATCGTTTGAAATTTATCGATTCCGATTTCGATTCCGGTTCTGCTTATCGATTCCGGTTCTTATCGATTCCCCATTTCGATTCCAAAATTGTAAAATAAAGAGGTCAAACGTTTAGATAACAAAAATATATTTATTCTTAAAAGCTTTAACTGAAATTGTTACTAAAAAATATACATGCAATACAAATGTATTGCACAATAGCTGTGCTTTATTTTAACTGAGCTATGCCTGTGGCAAGCTATTAACAGGCATTACACTTTGCCTTTTCTTTTTCTTTTTTAGTGTAGTGGAGCCTCACTTCAGAGTGTTTACCGCGACCTATCTTTGGTGTTATGAAGTGACTGAGCTCGTGAAATGTCTACGGGATGGCGGGGGGGCATCGCTGCGGGGCAACTGTGGACCTCTGTCGCCTGTCAGCGCAATTTATATGATGCCGTTTAAAAAAATGAAGGGCGGTGCCGGCCGTCAGCGTACCGAGTCGGCCGTCAACGGCCCGCTGACGACCGGCCGTTCTGTGATTCTCCAGGGTCCCGCCCTGTATTCCACCGGGTCACCGCAGCACCGCGGTGCAGACGGACCCGCTGGAATACAGGGTCTACCGCGTTTAGGAACCGTTAAGCAGAACCGAAATTGTGTATTTTGTATGGGTACCCGGTACCCGGCATTTTCTTATCGGTTCTCATCTGGAACCGAGTTTCGGTTCCCAACCCTACACTACATACTGATATACACCTGAACATCAGCAGGAGAGGACTCTTTAAAGTAGAGACACTACATACTGATATACACCTGAACATCAGCAGGAGAGGACTCTTTAAAGTAGAGACACTACATACTGATATACACCTGAACATCAGCAGGAGAGGACTCTTTAAAGTAGAGACACTACATACTGATATACACCTGAACATCAGCAGAGAGACTCTTTAAAGTAGAGACACTACATACTGATATACACTGAACATCAGCAGGAGAGGACTCTTTAAAGTAGAGACCCTACATTACTGATATACACCTGAACATCAGCAGAGAGGACTCTTTAAAGTAGAGACACTAAATACTGATATACACCTGAACATCAGCAGGAGAGAAACTCTTTAAAGTAGAGACACTAACATCTGATATACACCTGAACAGCAGCAGGAGAGGACTCTTTAAAGTAGAGACACTACATACTGATATACACCTGAACATCAGCAGGAGAGGACTCTTTTAAAGTAGAGAGAACTACATACTGATATACACCTGAACAGCAGCAGGAGAGGACTCTTTAAAGTAGAGACACTACATACTGATATACACCTGAACATCAGCAGGAGAGGACTCTTTAAAGTAGACACTACATACTGATATACACCTGAACATCAGCAGGAGAGGACTCTTTAAAGTAGAGACACTACATACTGATATACACCTGAAATCAGCAGGAGAGAACTCTTTAAAGTAGAGACACTACATACTGATATACACCTGAACATCAGCAGGAGAGGACTCTTTAAAGTAGAGACACTACATACTGATATACACCTGAACATCAGCAGGAGAGGACTCTTTAAAGTAGAGACACTACATACTGATATACACTGAACAGCAGCAGGAGAGGACTCTTTAAAGTAGAGACACTACATACTGATATACACCTGAACATCAGCAGGAGAGGACTCTTTAAAGTAGAGACACTACATACTGATATACCCTGAACATCAGCAGGAGAGGACTCTTTAAAGTAGAGACACTACATACTGATATACACCTGAACATCAGCAGGAGAGGACTCTTTAAAGTAGAGACACTACATACTGATATACACCTGAACATCAGCAGGAGAGGACTCTTTAAAGTAGAGACACTACATACTGATATACACCTGAACATCAGCAGGAGAGGACTCTTTAAAGTAGAGACACTACATACTGATATACACCTGAACATCAGCAGGAGAGAACTCTTTAAAGTAGAGACACTACATACTGATATACACCTGAACAGCAGCAGGAGAGGACTCTTTAAAGTAGAGACACTACATACTGATATACACCTGAACATCAGGAGAGGACTCTTTAAAGTAGAGACACTACATACTGATATACACCTGAACAGCAGCAGGAGAGGACTCTTTAAAGTAGAGACACTACATACTGATATACACCTGAACATCAGCAGGAGGACTCTTTAAAGTAGAGACACTACATACTGATATACACCTGAACATCAGCAGGAGAGGACTCTTTAAAGTAGAGACACTACACACTGATATACACCTGAACATCAGCAGGAGAGGACTCTTTAAAGTAGAGACACTACACTGATATACACCTGAACATCAGCAGGAGAGGACTCTTTAAAGTAGAGACACTACATACTGATATACACCTGAACATCAGCAGGAGAGGACTCTTTAAAGTAGAGACACTACATACTGATATACACCTGAACATCAGCAGGAGAGGACTCTTTAAGTAGAGACACTACTGATATACACCTGAACATCAGCAGGAGAGGACTCTTTAAAGTAGAGACACTACATACTGATATACACCTAACATCAGCAGGAGAGGACCCTTTAAGTAGAGACACTACATACTGACATACACCCGAACATCAGCAGGAGAGGACTCTTTAAAGTAGAGACACTACATACTGATATACACCTGAACATCAGCAGGAGAGGACTCTTTTAAAGTAGAGACACTACATACTGATATACACCTGAACAGCAGCAGGAGAGGACTCTTTAAAGTAGAGACACTACATACTGATATACACCTGAACATCAGCAGGAGAGGACTCTTTAAGTAGAGACACTACATACTGATATACACCTGAACAGCAGCAGGAGAGGACTCTTTAAAGTAGAGACACTACATACTGATATACACCTGAACATCAGCAGGAGAGAACTCTTTAAAGTAGAGACACTACATACTGATATACACCTGAACAGCAGCAGGAGAGGACTCTTTAAAGTAGAGACACTACATACTGATATACACCTGAACATCAGCAGGAGAGGACTCTTTAAAGTAGAGACACCTACATACTGATATACACCTGAACATCAGCAGGAGAGGACTCTTTAAAGTAGAGACACTACATACTGATATATACACCTGAACATCAGCAGGAGAGGACTCTTTAAAGTAGAGACTCTACATACTGATATACACCTGAAGATCAGCAGGAGAGGACTCTTTAAAGTAGAGACACTACATACTGAAATACACCTGAACATCAGCGGAGAGGACTCTTTAAAGTAGAGACACTACA